CACACACACCCACACCTGTGCATGCTTGTGCCCCCCCACATACTTTCCACCTTAGTTTCCCTTTTGGCCAAAGAAGTCTGGAATCTCTGGAGGGTGCAGGGGACCCACGCATGCCCCTCTGGGGAGCTGGCTGCAGGGTCCCTGCCTGCTGGGAGTGGGGCCTCCCCGCCAGCCTCWAGGCCTGTCCTGGTCACCTGGCGCCCTTCCCACCCCTCCGCCCCTCCTTGCGACTTGTGGGTTCTCACGTATTTTCTTTGTATTCAATATATTGTTGAAGAAGGGTCAAGAGAATAAATCCAAACTTCTTTGGTAGGAACTGCACAAGGGACAGAAAATTCAAAAAGCCGTAGTTTTTCTATGAAACGATACACAGCAGAATAAATGCCGCAGAGACGTGTGTGAGGCACTGTGGGGCTGAGAGGAGGGCCAGACTGCCCGTGGCCTYGAGCCCGCCTGCGGGGTGGACGGCCTGGGAGCATGTGTGTGCGTGTGTARGACGTATGCACCCCTGTGTGTGTGGGTGTGTGCATCTGGGTGGTCTGTGGTGTGCAGCTGTTGTGTGTATAGGTATGTGTGGGCACCCACATGTGTGTTGTGGGAGCTGTGTGTGTATACAGTTGGCCCTCTGCATCTGTGAGTTCTGCATCCACAGCTTCAACCTACCATGGATAAAAAAAAAATTGTGTGTGCATTAAATGTGTACAGATGGTTCTCTCCTCATTAGTCCCTAAATAACTCAACATGACAACTCTTTAGACAGCACGGGCGCTGTGTCAGGCGTCACCGTGATCTAGAGACGGACCACAGTGCGGAGCCGGTGGGCAGGGTTTATGCACTAATGCACCATTTTGCAGAAGGGCCTGGAGCACCAGGGCTTTTGTGTCTTCCGGGGTCCTGGAGCCCATCTGCCTGGATACTGGGCACCATTGAGCAGGTGTGTGTGGGAGGACATGTGTGGATACGGGGGGTGCATGGGTTCTCCTGTGCATACAGAAGTGCATGTGTGAAGGTGTGCGTGCAGCTGGGTTCCAGGACAGGCTTTCTGCGTGGCAGGCAGAGGAGGATCAGATGTGTGAGAGGCAGGGGYGGGGGCACGGGCTGCAGGGTCCTGCCGAGAAGGCCCTCTGTGCTCCGGAAGCAGAGCCCCTCGCATGGGGGCTTTGGTCTGGAGGCAGCAGTAGGTCCCTGGAGGGTGTGAGAAGGGTCAGGACCTGGTGGTGACTGGGAGAGCAGTCAGGTAGGGAGACCCGGAGGCTCTCAGCTCTGCCGGGCCCGGCTGGGGGCACCATTGACTCTGCTTGCCCAGCCTCTCCGCTGTGGGCAGTGCCAGATGCCTGTGGCCCAGACACGCTGTGGCATGGAGCCCACGGGAGCGTCCACCAGGGCTGGGCCCTRCACCATCTCTGGGGCTCCCCTGGGCCACAGGCCTAGAGACCCAGGCCACGGCTTTCCTCCTCCCCCTGCTCCGGGGAGGAAGCGGGGTAGGACAGAGCTGAAGATGCTCTGGCGGCCACAGAGGGCCAGGCAGGACAGGCAGAGCCCAGGGAGGTGCACCCCAGGCCAGAGCTGCATTGTTAAGATGAGTTTTTAAAATCTATCATTTTCTTTTTAAATTTTTTAATCACTGTTGTGATCCAACCCAAGGCCTCCCACACTCTAGGCCAGCTCTCTGCCACTGAGCTGCACCCCAGCCCTGAACTGGCATTTCCAAATAACTCTCGCATTGCAAAGAGAGCACAGCAATCCCAGTGCTGTCCTCCAGCCTCTGCAGTGTCACYGTCTTACATGACCTTGGAGGACCGTCGCCCGACTGACCCTGCACAGCTCTGGCTCAGACCCCCCCCACCCCCCGTTTTCCCTCTGATGTCCTTTTGTGGCAGGAACAGCGGCTCCCAGTTCTGGCCAATGGAGGTCCTTGGAGTGCCCCTTGTCCCTTCCACCTGCTCTGTCACTGTGAGCGCTTCCGAATTTTCGGAATTCATGGTGTTCTTTCCAGCCCTGGAACCGGCCGTTCGCCGAGGAGCCTGGTTCTTAGTTTGGGGGGATTCATTTAGAAACAACGTCCAGGTGTGGGGTGTGCTCATGGCCAGGGGTGGGGGCGGGGGGGAGAAGACCATGGGCCTCACCTGGAGACCTCAGGAGATGAACTGGCAGGGGTGGGCTGACTCAGGGCACAGGTGGGGGCGGGCCTCTCATGAGAGGGACCTGGCTTCTTGGAGGTGACAGGGGAAAGGGAAGCAGGTTGGAGATTCCAGGGAGTCCAGGAGAAGGCAGAGAGCAAGAGCAGGTGGCATCAGTTGGAGCCTGGGAGGGGCACCCAAGCTGGAGCGGCTGTGGAGGAGGTGGGCTTGGCAGGCGACTGGCCTGCAGAGCTGCCCCTCTTGGAGTGGCTGCCAGGGAGGCTGGAGAGCTCGGGCGGCCATGAGAACCAGGAGCAGAAGCTGCAGAACGGGGAGTGAGAGGAGAGGGAAGTTTTGGAGACTCTGAGGACCTGGCTGAGAAGCCAAGGGGAGGGGAACGCAGAGCTGACCCACAGGCTGTGGGCGGAGACCTGGCTGCCAGCTCCGTGTGAGGTGGCATGGGGAGGGGTCCCCAGCTGAGTGGTCTGGGACCGCCAGGTGCTCCTCCTTGTTGGGAGGGGCCGGGGGGCTTGGGGAGAGTGGGCGTGGGAGAGCCCATCCTGGGCCACCCTGACTCCTAGGTCTGGCCCTGGCCTCTCTCCTTCCTGGCCACGGTTTCCTGTGGTCTCTGCTCTGGTTTCTCCACTTAGCCTGACCCTGTGGGGAGCAGGGCCCTGCCATGCCTCCCCGCTTCCTCTGTCCCCTGGGTTTGGGTATCTCGCCTCTGTCAGCTGGACAGTCACAGCAGGAGGGCCCCTCCCTGTCCAGCTCCAGGAGCCTCTTCCAGTGTGACCTGTCCCCTCCCTGTGTCTCTCCCTCTTGGTCCTGGGCCTGCTGCTCCAGGTGGCCAAGGGCTGGGGCTTGGGACTGGAAGAACGTGGGGTGGGGTTTTCCAAGGGCCTGCAGCTGCCCTTGGGCGTGGGTTGGAGGTCGTTAGTGTCCTCCGGGAACTCATAAACCCGTCCTTTTCCCTCAGGAAGGGAAGGAGTTTGCCGAGAGCAACAAGCTGCTRTTCATGGAAACCTCCGCCAAGCTGAACCTCCAGGTGTCCGAGGTCTTCAGCACCGTGGGTGAGTGAGGGCAGCCCACCGCCGGACGAGGGCCGGGCTCCCACGGGACCTGCTCCACTGGGTCTTCTTTTCTGGTGTCTTGGGACCAAGAGTCTGTCTGTTGGGGACAGGGGGTGAGCAGGAGGGACATGGAGTCCTGGGTTCCGGGCTCTGAGCAGCTGTCAGGAGGGCGGGCCTGGGCTGTTCTGCCTGCAGGCTGTGTGGTCCCGGGGACTCTCCCCAGTCAACTCTCCCTTCTTCCTTCACAGCGCAAGAGCTACTGCAGAGGGAGGCCAGGCAGAGCCACAGYGCACAGGGGGATGCAGCCGTGGTTCTGAATGCGAGTCCTGCCCCGCAGGCCAAATGCTGTGCCCGTTAGAAGTGCTACTCCAGGGGGCCATGGAAGGACGTCCAAGGCCAGGCCTGGGGGTCTCCAGGGTGAGCTGCTTTCGGCTTGGCTCTTCATCAGTTGCACTTCRTGGCTGGTGCTGGACTGTGCCTGAGGGCTGGCGGCTTCCAGAAGTTGGCGTCCTTGGTCATACCCAGTTCCCAAAGCTGGGGGTGATTGTCAGGGGAGGATAGGGTGTCAGATGGCTCCCAGAAGACTGTTGCCCACCATGGCAGATCCTGGACACCCCAGTCACCTAATTGATTGCTTTGTCACCAAACGTGGAGGGTTGGTATGAGGCAGAGAGGAAGCAGAGATCAGGACTCTGATGATAGCCATGGTGGACAGACACCTCCATCTGGCTTGGCAGGAATGCTGGGCTAGGGCTGGGCCCACCTGCTTCTGGGAGGTGGGAGAGAAGGAAGAGGCCCCCAGGGAGGTGGCGGTACCCGAAGAAATGGAGTGATGGACCTGGGTGGCTGATCTCAGGCGGTGGCCCTGGGGAAGGTGCCAGTGGCAGGCTGCTGAGGTGAGTAGGCAGCCACAGTCCTGCTGGGAGCACAGAGGCTCYGACTTGTACCCTGACGTGGAAGTTGTGCTGTCGAAGCATCTTTTTCTCTTAAGATTAAACTGCTATGAACCATCTGGCTCTGGGCGAGTTTGGAAGGGTGAGCTGGGCACAGCCTGGTGGACTGCAGTGTGAGGGGCATTCCAGGGGCTCCTGAGCCACGCGGAAGGAGGCCGAGATGTGCAGGTGTGACTGGGGCGGGCGCGTGCTGCAGTCCGGCTGCAGCAAAATAGCCGGGGGGGTGACGAATAACTTGTGTACGTTGATACAGCAGGAATAGGAGCCGTTTATTGTAGGACAACAGAGCTATTTATACATTTTGCACAGCTTATCTTAATTAGCATAAACTAGATACATCAGTCAACCAATAAGGAATCTCCACACTTAATGGCTCRCTTTTGTTACTTCTCAAACCACTCCCTCTGACATTTTTCCAGGCACCATCCAGACTTGTTTACGAACTCTAACATTTCTCTGGCAAAATACCAGGTGTTATTTTTGACTTATTTACAGACCTTAACAGGAGCGGATCTTCATTCTGATGCCACGTGACACATGGCCCCCACTGAGGCTGCCTGGCTCAATGGAGGAGCCTGGTCCCCGTTCGGGGAGGTTAGCTTGGTGACTTTTCTGTTGGATCTCTCCTGACACCTGAYGCAGCAAGGGGAAGGTATTCCAAAGGGGGACGTGTTGGGGAGATTTTGTCCTCATCTCTGGCTCCCTGGTAAGCAGATGCGAAGTCTAAGTATCACCACGTGGCTGCCAACTGAGGAAGACGGCCTTGCCGTGCGGCTCTAAGGCTCTGAGGAGGGGCCATGCACAGTGCCCTCCCACGTGACCCTGGACTTCTCATCCCTGTTGGGCCTCACCCAACAGAGAGGGTGCTCTCTGCTCTGCCCACTTTGCATGGACAGCACCTCCCAGTCCAGGGACTTGGTCTTGGGGTGGGGGCATCCCAGATGGAAACCAGCGGTGGGGGTGATGGGAGACTGGGGAGGGACATGGGCACCAGGTATTGGCTAGGACCCGCCTAGAGGGTCACTCGGCAGGGCTGTGCCTGGTAGGAGACCCGCCCAGCCTGGGCCTCAGCACTCCAGCCACACTTGGTACCACTCGTCCCAGGGAGGGCCCTGTGGGCGTGGTTGCCCTGATTGGAGGGAGACACTTGTTCTGGGGAGGTGGGAAAGGTCAGAGTGTCCTGGTGCTGATGTGAAAAGGGTAAAGAAAGAGAACCAAGGGGGCCTTCATTTTTTACCAATGCTCTTAGACAACTTCATAGGGGGAGCCTCAAGACAGTGCTGTGTAATTGCTGTCATCTGACTGCTAGTGACATTGGGCAATGTGTCCTCGCGTCCCTGCCATCACAGGGGGCCTGAGCAGCACTGGGGACACCCTGGAGGTGGCAGGAGGCCGAGTTTGCCCATGGCCACCAGGGGGCGTTCCAGCACCACTGAAGGAGTTCCCTGCTGTTGGCTGACCTGCAGACTGAGCGGTCAGGGCTCTGCTAAAGAGCAGACCCAGCCCACTGATAGAAGAGACCCTGGGAAATAAGTGGGAAAATTCTAGGGTGCCCTCTATCTGCTAGCCTGCTTCCCTGTGGCTGGTCTCGCAGTGCTAGGATTTATTCAGTGCATCTTTGACTCATTCCCATCCAGAATCCTTCCATGGTCTCTCCAGGCCAGGATGGATCTGGTGCAATCCAGCCCCCTTTTCTCCTCCCCCACTGGGCAGATGAGGCTCAGCGCTGCCCTAAAATCACCTGGGGAGCAACAGGAGGAACACTTGCACCTGCATCTTGCCCAATCTTCTAAAGAGATGAGTCTGTGCTGGGATTTTAAACTATCCCAGGTGAGCTTAGAATTCAGCAAAGGTTGAGAAACCATGTGAGGACAGGGCTGCCTCACATGCCTCTGTAGGCTCCCCCGGGCTGGTACAATGCCTGGCACAGGCATGTGCTAACCAAGGGACAGAAACTGCTGTTTTCCCCACAGTCCTAAAGGAACTTGCTATGGTTTGGATGTGATGTGTCCCCCAAAAGCTCACATGTGAGACAATGCAAGAGGTCTGCAGGAGAAATCACTGGGGTATAGCCTTAATCTAATCAGTGGATCCGTCCCTGGTAGGGGACTGAGTGGTAACTRGAGGCAGGTGGGTGTGGCTGGAAGGAGTGGTTCACTGGGGACGTGGCTTTGGGTATATATTTTGTATCTGGAGAGTGGAGTCTCTCTCTCTCTCTGCTTTCTGATCACCATGTGAGCTACTTCCCTGTGTCACACTCTTCCTCCGTGTTCAACCTCACCTGGAGCCCTGAGGAATGGAGCTGGCCTCTGTGGCCCGAGACCTCTGAAACCATGAGCCCTCAAATAAACCTTTCCTCCTCTACGGTCGCTCTGGTGGGGTCTTTCATTCGCAGCAGGGAAAAGCCTGACTCCAACAGAACAGCTGGCTTTCCTGAGAAYAGCCCCCTAGAGCGGGCAGGTGTGATGGCAGGCTTGCCCAGGGCCCTGCCAGTGCCCCACCCTCCTGCCCCGCCCACCCAGAATCTAGGGTGCTGGGGATGAACCCAGAGGGGTGGGGGATGTTCCCAGCAGAGGTGCATGCTCTCGGGAGGCCAGCTCTAGGGTGCCTGCAGTCCTGGCCACAGCCTGGGCAGGTGCCACCGTTGTCCTAGGCTGGACTTGGACCTGGGACTTTCCCCAGCAGCTGTGCGTCCAGGTGTGGAGGCAGGAGGCAGAGAGGGCTGCAAGTGGCCCTCCACAGCTCCTCGCCATCCTGTCCACTCCCGGGGCCTGTTGTTCCTCTGTTCTCGTCTCCTCCCATCCTACCTGCCATTCTTATCTAACTGATGGACGGACCCTGCTGTGGTTCAGGCATGAGGTGTCCGCCCAAAGCTCCTGCTGATGCAGAAGTGTCGGACGTGAGATGATGAGATTCGGAGACCTGGAACCCCATCAGTTGGTCCTCATTTGAGCCGACTGACTGGGTGGTGACTGTGGGCAGGTGGGGGCTGCCCTGGGAGGGGCACCTTGCTGCGGCCTCTTCCCCTTCTGTTTCCTGGTGCTGTGGTGGGAGCAGTGCTTCTCCACCTTGTCTTCCGGCCATGCCCTCTGCCTCACCCGGGCCCAGGGCAGCGGAGGGGCCTGCCCTGGGCTAACCTGAGCCTGTGAGCCCAAATCAACTCTTCCTCCTCTATGTTGTTGTTGTTGTTGGGCATTTTGATCACAGCCACGAAAAGTTGACTAAGGCAGACCATTGTCCCCAAACTCGATGACTCACACTCCTGTTCTTGTCTTTTAACATCGGTTCCCTTCTTGGGGCTCCCAAGGGTCCAGTGTAAGATGATTCAAGGTGTCCATCAAAATCTATTTGTCAGATACTAAACAACAGAAAGAGAGGTGTCTTCTTGGGATGCATCCAGCGTGTCTAGGTGGGTGGTGGTAAGAGAGTCACCCCACGGACCCAGGACGTCACAGCTGGCCTGGGAAGGACATCAGGGTGCTTCCTCTTGGGCTAACTGGGAAGCAGGACACTCCCATGGGGCCAGGACAGCCACGCGTGGCTTGTGGACCACACGGGGAAGAACTCTCTGTGTCACACAGGTTGTCCTTAACCACCCGGTCAAGTCCAGTGGGGGGTGGGTGGGCACTACCGGCCGACACAAGAGGAAGGGCCAGGGCACCTGTGCCCCCTGAGTAACCTGCATCCAGTTAAGGCCTGAAGCCTCCTCTCGGATGACAGGAATACAGGGACAGAAGGATGAGAGCCACACCCGGGAGGACAGGGAAGAGACAACTGTCACCAGACCACACAGGTGCATTGTTCCATAAGAGGACCCACAGGGTGCTTCCAGACACCAATGTCCTGCTGGGCGCAGGGGCTCCCGCCTGTCATCCGGGAGGCTTGGGAGGCTGAGGCAGGAGGATCATGAATTCAAAGCCAGCCTTAGAAAAAAGCCAGGTGCTAAGCAACTCAGTGAGACCCTCTCTAAATAAAATACAAAATAGGGCTGGGATGTGGCTCAGTGGTCGAGTGCTCCTGAGTTCAATCCCTGGTACCAAAAAAAAAAAAAAAAAGAAAGAAAGAAAAKAAATCAATGTCCCGACAAAACACAAAAACAAGGAGCCCAGGGTGAGAGAAATAACTGTGACATTAGATTGGAACCTGATAAGAAAAAAAAGTTTTAAGACTTTTGTGATATATACTTAGGGATTTTTGCATATGGAGTAGATAAAAATACTATTGATTAATTATATTTTTTCAGGTATGGTTTTGTGATTATGTAGGGAATTGTCTTATTTTGGGGAGAAGCATGCTGGAATACTTAGGGGCAACGTCCTGGTGTAGAGACAGAGGAGGGCAGGAGGAAACCAGAGACGAGAGCGGTGACAGCTGAGTCCAGGTCAGGAGATTCTGGGGGCCTCACGATAATTTCTGAACTTCCCTGTGTGTTTGAAGCTGTCGACACACGAGTTGTAGGGAGCATAAACCCTGGCCTCTTTGTGTCTGGGCAGAGAAGGTGGATCTGTGTCCTGGGATGCCCTGGCTAGGTGGCATGAGCAGCAGGCAGGGCGTTGCCGCCCGCTCTGGAGGCTGYGAGTCTGGGCTGGGGTGGCGGCTGGTCCTGCCTGCCCCAGGGCTCTCCTGCTACGAGGCTGGTGCTCCCTGGCGGAGCTGCATCTCCTGATCTCTACCTTGGGTTCACGTGGCTTCTCCCTTTGGTCCTGCTGTCCTGATTTCCCCTTTCTCTAAGGACACTGGTCCTGTTGGATTGGCATCACCCTGCTCCTGCCTGAGCTTAGCAATGTCCAGATAAGGCCACATCTAAGGTAGGGGCATTAGGCTTCGGCTCATGAGTTTGGGGGATGGGTGAGGCAGCCCTGAGGAGTAGGTGAGTGCCCGGCACCTTGGAGATGCCTGGTCTCCAGCCTTTGCTTCCCTGACCCCAGAGGGAGTGGGCACCCAGTCCAGCCTGGTCAGAGGACGAGGTGGGCTTGGCCTTCTCCTGACCATATGGGGCAAGGGTCCCCTCCTAAGTCCTCATCTGGGTGGCAGGTCCCTGAATCCCTGATGTGCAAGGGAAGTGTTAGGTCTTTGCCCCACCTGACAAGGTTGTAGCCTGTGAATGGTGGTCACTGGCCCTCTGTCCCTTGGTTTGCCAATCCCATGGCCCCATACCCCTGCCTGGGGTATTGCCAGAGTCTCCCAGTCAGTCCCAAYTGTCTACAGATGAGCTGGCCTCCCTTGAGCCAAATAGGACCAGGTGATTTCCTCCTAGTGACCTTCGCGGCCACAAGTCGTCCTGTTGTTATAGTTAAAGCTTCGTCCCAGGGTTTCATAAACTGACTTCCAGACCACTCATGTATAATCGAATCAAGCCTTTATTGAAGCACACCGGTGGCGGCTGACCAGAACATAAAGCTGTTCCCCTGCTCAGCCCCGAACAATTGCAAGGCACTCCTTATAAGCCTGAAAACTGCAAAAGGGATGTTCGGGGGTCCAGCCAATGCAAGCCAGCCAGGTTACAGAAGTGGGAGAGTKCAGTCAAGCGGAGGGAAGCCTAACTAATCACAGTTAGCCCAGTCACCCCAGTTACAGGGCCCTGTTACCCTAGTTACAGAAACAATGCCCCTTTGGGTACTTTTGTGTTCTTAAAGGTTTCTATAGCAAAAGGAAAAGGACATCTTCCCCAGTCATGACCCTTCTACTTGGCATGGTTGTTATGATGAATCGTAAAACAAAATGGAGTCACATTTGCTCCTACTACCACACTGTCCTCCTCACTCCTGGGCACAGCYGTGGGCCCTGGCTGCCCTCCTAAGCAGAGCCCCTGTTCTCTTTGCCTCAGAGGCCCGGCTCCTGTGGAATCCAGAGCCCCGTCACCAGGGGGTCATTGGCGCTGAGTTCCGGGTCTGTGCCCACCCTGGGCTGTGGCCTCCTTGTGGGAGTCCAGTGCAGGGTCTTCAGTGCGCTGGTCCTTTTGTTCCACCCCCATCCAGCTCCAAGTCATTTCATCAACCGGGAAGGAGCCCGCCTGGCCGCCAGGAACCTGCTTCTCCTCTCTGGGACTTCACTCTGGGAGCGCACGGTGGCTGTGGACAGTGCTGGCTTCTTCCCGCAGCGTCTCATTTTCAAGCCTGTCCTGTTGCAGCAGGCGCCAGCGCCCGCTCCGCTCCAKTCATCTCCTGATGAGCGCTATGGGGTATTTATACCCCCCAATCCCACCCCCTCTGTGGTGCTGTCAGGAGCTGGCCTTCAGGAGGGGACCCTGCTGTGAAGACGCAGCCTCAGGGACGGGACTGTGCGGTTGGAGAAGAAGCTGGTGCCCTCTCTCCACCATGTGAGGACAAGTGGCTTCACAGATGGCAGGTGTGCTGGCCCCTGGAACCGGGAGAGTTAACAGTTGGCTGTCCAAGGCTCCGAGTCTGTGGCACCTGGCTAGAGCAGCCAGCCCTGACCAAGGCAGTGGGCACGTCCAGCTGTGCTGCTGTGGACCCCCTATGAGGATCCACCTCCACCTGGGTTCATGTCCTGTGTCCCGGGTGAAATTGCCGGGCGGGGTCATGTTGACCTGCTTCAGCTGTCTGGGGAGCGGTGGTACTGCTGCCTTTCTGGGCCATGAGCCGTCCAAGCCTGACCCAGCACCTGCCTCCCGGGGAGCAGGCCCAGTTCCCACAGGCACACTCCACCTGGGGGGCACCAGGGTGGGGGGCTCCCCTGTGGCTGGGAGGTCAGTGTCTGTGTTAACCCCAGGTGGGAGGTCCGGGCTAGAGGAGCTGGGGTCCTGCCTCATGGCCCTCTGAGCCTAGGTGGCCAGGAGTCCTGTGGCCAGGGAGACCCCTCTGAACAGTCCAGGCTGTCCAGACAGGCCCAAGGCTGGGGAAGGGCCTATGCCATCCAGGCAGGTGTCCTGCCCTCTGAGCTCGGGAATGAGGGAGGGTGCTGCGCCTGATTCAGACGTGGAACTGAGCCTCAGAGAGGCCCAGGAATGGGTCCGTTGACCAGTAGTGTGGTGTGTCCCTGACACCAGAGCAGTTATGCCTGAGCATGGTGACGTCTCTGTGTAATTGAAAGGGACACAGTGTGGTGCTGGAGTCTCCCAGGGCTGAGTGGGGACAGCACATAGTGCCCCTCTGAGCAGCAAGGGAGGCCAGGAGGATGCAGGGAGGAGGATGGTGGTTGCCAGGGTTGCCAGGGAGAGGGGAGGGACGGCTCTGATGGTGCAGGAGTCTGCTCTGTGTACAGGACACTGGCGACCCTGTCATTCCACACGAGCTCAAACCCCTGGGACGCACAGCACCCAGAGCAAACCCCAGTGTAGGTGGCTCTGGGTGACCATGGTGTGTCACCAAATGTGTGAGATATTGGGGGCAGGAGGCAGTGTATATGGAGGCAGCAGGAAGCAGGATGCTCTGAACCTTCTGCTCATTTTTGCTGTGAAACTAAAACTGCTATGAAAATTAAAGTAAGAGAGAGAGAGAGAGAGAGAGAGAGAGAGAGAAGGATTGAGACTCGGGGAGGGACAGCTCCAGGCTGAGGGGCTGTGCTGCCTCCTCTGGGGACAGTGGTGCATGGTGCCCACCGTCTTGTGCAGTGTGCTCCTGAGCAGCTGTTCAGGTGTGGGGGGCTGTGGGCTGCAGGTGACCAAGGACAGTCCCAGCTCCCGACTCAGGCCCCTCCCACTTTGTCACCACACAGTCGCAGACAGCAATAAGCCAGGCCAGAGCCTTTATTATCATGGAAGGGAAGGAGCTGGGAGGAAGAGGGTGGGTGGGGAGGCTCATGGGGTCCGGGTCTTCAGGGTCTTCATCAGCGGGCCATCAGCCATCCTGGGGGTACTTGGCACCACCCTCCAGCGGGAGGCAGGTGGACCAGCATTGCAGCCCAGGCCTGGGGACGTCCCGAAGGGCTGCCCTCCTCCGGCCGAAGCGGCCCACAGGCCTGATCCCCCGGCCTCTGTACCAGGCAGGATTGATGTCAGGAGCTACAAAGGGAAGAGCACAGCACCGCGTGGGACCCCCACCCCCAGGGTGTGTCATGTGCCCAGACCCACAGGCTCATCCCCACACGGCCCCTCAGCTGATGGCTGCCTGGTCACCAGGCTGTGTTGGAGCCCACCTGAGATAAGGGCACCCAGAGGGTCAAGGCCATGTCGAGACAGTCATGTGGCTTTGGAAATAAGAACTCAGACTTATACTGGGTCCACTTGCCCTTCTTGACCCCCCTCCCAGGTTCAAGAGAGACCAGGCCCAGCTGGGCAGAAGTGGGCATGGAGGGAGGGGACGGGCTATCCTGGGAAGAGGGCTGGTCCCCAGGATGTCCTAGCAGGAGGTTGGCCCCCAGAGCTGGAGCGTATGGCTTAGGAGGTGGCCAGCCCTCTACCCCTGGGTACTGAGCACCCACGGTCCCAGCACTCACTTCGGATTTCCATGGAGTGCTGTGGGGCTCGGCTTGCAGCCCCCTGGAGGACCAGGCCCAGCAGCAGCAGACACAGGAAGCAGCCACTCAGAGACTTCATGCCCCTGGCTTCTTGAACAAGGCCCCTCTAGGGATGGCACACCAGGAGGGCACAGCCTGGGGACAGGGGGAGGGCCAGGTTAGATAGGAATGAGATGTGTGCATGCCAAGCCCAGGAACTCAGGTCACAAGAGCATGAGAGAGTCATGCAAGTGTCCGAGTGTGTGCACATGTGTAGGAGTGGGCTGTGCTGCACGGGTGTGTGTGTGTGTGTGTGTGTGTGCGAGCACACACACGCAGCCCCAGCAGGGAAGTGTGTGAACAACACGTGTGAACATGGCTGTCTTGGAGCAGCCTCGGGTCTGTCTGTCCTCCTGTGTTAGGAACCAGGAGGAGCCCTCCAGGCCCTGGGGGGTGGGGAGGTGGCCCCACAGAGCCCTGGGGTGGAGGAGCACCTCGCCAACCTCAGAGGGTGGGGTTTGGGTTTGCGACCTCGGTGCTCAGTCCTTTACCACTCTTGGCCCAAGTCCTGCTGACACTGAGGCCCATCCGCTGCCCTGCCCTGTCAGAGGACAGCAGCCGGTAGTCGGGTGTGACAGGACACTTAGCATCCTGGGTCCTTTCTGAGCCTGCTCACCCCACCCAGTCTTCGATCCGGTCTGCTGAAGCTCTGAGGTGCAGGCAGCACCCGAACCTCTTCTCACACACAGGACACCCCTACAGATGACGGGAGCAGGCTGCTGTGGATGAGAGCAGGGACCCCCAAACCCTCTGTGCCATGCTGGAGTAGAGTTGCCCACCTACATCAGCAGTGTCCAGCTGAAAAGCCTGGTGAACCGTCCTCCCTGCTCCCACCTCGTCATTTCTGTTACCACCRGAAGGTGCCCGAGAGCCCCGTCTGTTTCAGAGGAGGACCCCTCAGCTGACCCAGCCCCTCCCTGAGCTCCACAGAAAGAGCTGTCCATCAGCACTGAATAAAATGTCCACCTCTTTCTTGGGGAGTCCCACACAGGGCAAGGGATCCCCAACCTAGAGGATGGAGGTGCTACCTTGAAGAGGAATAAACACATGCACCCACTTGGGCTGGCCCCTTTGCCTGTCCCCTGGAATAGGACCCAGGCCAGGTGAAGGGCATCCTGGAACGTCAGCAGTTCGGGGGTCCTGACCCCAAGGACCTGTGTCCTGGAGCTGGGGACTTCCCTGCCCAGCGGGGTTCCCAGGTAGAGCTCCGTGGATACCTCGGCTCACCTCTCCACCACGAGAGCACTGGAGTGCCGGGGCTCCAGGTGGCTGGACGCACAGACCTGAGGGCAGCTGCCACTGCCCGTCCTGCTCAGCCCCAGCCTGGCTGCCAGGAGAAGAGGCCAGTCTCAGMTAAACCTGGTCTACGCCTAACAAAGGACAGATCTCACAGAGCGGCTGAGCCGCGCCAGCCTCTCCAGCACCTGATGCCACTCACCGATCGATCTCCCTCCGTGTGCGGAGCTGCCCTGGCTGCGCAGTGAGGCCCGGTGGCCRCCTGCTCACCTTTATAATCCATGAGGGAGCAGCTGACGCCCCCAGATGCCCTCCCCAAGCCGGCGCCTTTGCCTGCCGTCCCTAAATGCACCGTCTCCCTGAAGGGCCACACCAGGAGAGGACCTCGTCTTTTTTCTTTCCTTTCTTCTATTTTTTTTTTTAAACGCTCATCAGCGAGGTGATCTGTTCCTTCCTGAATGATATAATTTCATTTGGGCCGAGTGGTTTTAAAGCACATTAGCCTCCCTCTTCGCGCTCGCCTCTGGCCAGGCTCCAAAGTCAAGTGCCACGAGACATCAGCTCCAGAGCCGCAGCCCTCACCAGGAGACACCCCCGCCCCGGGCTCCTCGGTGCACCTCTCTCGCCCTTCTCTGAGTCAGAATCTGGGCTGAAGGCAGGACGGAGGTCGCCATCGCCCAGTGCAGCCACTCGCATCCTGCCTGGCCTYTCAGCCCTGCTGACCAGCAGCCCTTCCTCGGCGGGCGCACTGGCTCCGAGCAGACCACTTCCGTCCAACTCCATCATGAAAAGTCCGTCTTCTAGGCTCCCACAGTCTTCCCAGCTCATGTTCAATACAAGTTGATCCTACGCTAAAGCCAGCAGCTTGATCTTTATCGAAAAACACAAGTTTATTTTATTACAAATGCAACTCATACACACTGGGAAAAATTTAGTGCACACACACACACAAGAGAAAGCACAGACGACCTCACAGAAGCTGCCCCCTTTGGGGYCTGGTGCTTTTTCTCCAGGTGAGCCTCCCATGCACTTTCTTGTCAGTTTGACAGATGTGGGGCTCATTCTTCCCACCTCATGCTGTAACCATGGCATCCTTAGTTGTGAAAATATCTACATATTTATGTCACTTACAATAACCATAGGACATTCTGCCATTTAATGTGGGCCTCAGAACCTAAACCATCGTGTTCTGAGTAATGGTAGATTACGTTAAAGGTCTTTTGAGGGCAACTGAACCCCGTCTTCTTGAGGGAGCCGAGCTGCAGGAGACGCAGCAGGCTGCCCCTCTTGGGTCTGTGCAGCGGGTGATTGATGGGCCACTGTCTGGGCCTCCTTCACACTTCTAGGGGCAGCTCTGGGGCACCATGGCGCCCTCTGGGAACCCGCCTTCTCCTTCTTCCAGACCTGGCTGTCTCTTCCAGGTCAGGAGGGTTTCTGGCTGGTGGGCTCCCTGAGAGATCTGGTAAGGACTGGGTGGGGTAAGGGACTCTGGAAGGATCAGGTGGGTCACAGTGTTCCCCTRCAGATTGGAGTCACAGGGAAGCGTTAAAAACTTTCCTCATGCCTGGCTCCACTTCTGAGAAATTGCACCTGAATTCCTGGGTGGGAATCGTGTGGTGGAGGGTGGACCTTTCTTGACGGTAGGTGGGCCCCATGGGTGTGTGCCAGCCTGAGGGCCACCTGGGGCAATGGAGACTGAGACTTCAGGAGCTGGAGTGAGACTCCAACGTCACCCTGGGAGTGTGAGTGTGTGCAGGTATGAGAGTGAGTGTGTGCAGGTGTGAGAGTGAGTGTGTGCAGGTGTGTGAGTGTGTGCAGGTGTGAGAGTGTGTACAGGTGTGAGTGTGTGCGGGTGTGAGAGTGTGTACAGGTGTGAGTGTGTGCAGGTGTGAGCATGAATCCTCCGTCAGCACAGCAGATTAGTTGCAGTGAGTTGTGGCACCTTGCTGCTTTGGGAGGCAGTAGGTGGCACAGAACAAAGGCCAGGTGTGAGCCGTGACTGCTCTTTGTAGCTGCCCAGAGCCCCAGGGCCACAAGCCTGGCCAAGCCATCTCAGGCTGCACCCAGCTTCTTGGGGAAGTGATCCCACAAGGGCTTTGAACGCCGTCTGGAGGGGCAAGSTCTTCCCCCACCTCTGTACCTTGGCCATGGATCTGGGGCAGGGAGGGCCGAGTACTCTAGGTCCAGCATGGCCTGGTCAGGATTTCATCTAGGCCTCTTGAGTTGTGCCTATGAACTTGAACCTGTGCATGTGAGTCCCCTCCTGGAGGAGGTATAACCCCACCTCCCTCCCAGAGCTGTGGACACCTGGGACCAAAAACACTCTTCGTCATAATTTGCTAAGCTGTTTGCAATCGCATTTTTTCCCTATTGACTGAAGTGGACTTGGGGGTTTTCTCATTCAGTTTGTTACWACAATAATAGATTTTTTCCCAACATTAAAAACTCCTGACTCTCCTGGAATGGCTACTTGCTCAGRTTTTAAATACACCACCGGGTTTCACTCACTGATATTTTATTTAGAATATGTTTATCTTTATCTACTGCCTTTAACTTTCCTTCCTCACAGTTTCTGTTTTGGGATCCAGGTTTCCCTGGCCTTACACAGGAGCAGAGCTGCCCCCTGAGGGACTCCRAGGGGAGGCAGGGAGTCCCCACAGGGAGACACACGGGCAGGGCTTGGGGCAGAAGGGAGGGGGTGGGAGGGTGGTGAGATCCTGGGTCGGGGGTCTCTGGACCCAGAGCCAGGGGGCTGAGAGAGGAGCTTTGGGGACACGGTCATGATGCCCCAGTGGAGGTCAGGTGTCTGGGGCCTGAGGGACAGCCGTGGGCCACTCTGTGGGTCTAAAGCTCTTTACTGAGGTCTCGGCCATGGACAGGGACAGCCTGGACGCAGGTGAGGAGAGGACGGGGACAGAGGGAGAGGATCTGTGAAGGACCCAGAGGAGGAATGCATGTGGGAGGCAAGGGAGGAGCCCTGGGGGCAGGACTGTGGGGCCAGAGGGCAAGGCGGCCTTGCAGAGGACAGACCCTCCAGAGCCCCTGCAGCTCCTTCCTTGGCTGGTCTGGGTGACTCTCCCACCACCTTTAAGGTTTCATGTCACCTCCGTTAGGGGTGGGCGAGCTTCCTGTGCCATGGACCAGGGAGACGCTGTACCAGTACTGTGGCCTCTGGCCTCAGGGGCAGTGTACCAGGGACTGGCGTGGCAGGACTGAGAGCTGGATGTGGCCCCTGGGCGCATCTCTTGCTGGCAAGTTCTTCGTAACAGGTGTGTGTACTACCTGGCAGGACCTCATGCCCCACGGAGGGCCCGTAGTCCTGCTTCTGAAACCCCTTTGGTGAAATGGGAGAAGAGCAGAACTCAATGTGGGGTCATCAGAACACCCAAGTAGGCCAACACGGCCTGCTGCCCCTGCTGGGCCCAGCAGAGTCCCTTCATCTGGCCTGGGCCACCTCTAGGTTGGCCACACCAAGGACGAGGCTGGCCCTGTGCATTCTCTGGGGTGTCTGGAACAGGGGCTGTGGCTGCAGGGCTGGGGCACTCGCAGAGAGCTGGGACCGAAGAGCCGGGGGCYCCTGCTGCAAGTCTGAGGAGTGGCTGCCAGTCAAGAGGGAAAGAGAGGGCGCAGCGAAGGCGGAGGGCATGTGAGGGCATGGCCAGGCCCCTGYGCTTCCCGAGGCTGGAGGAAGCTCTGTGCCTCCACCCACTATTTCACCTGGGCTCCTTGCCATGCAAAGCCCCAGGTTGGAGGGGCTCCGGGAGGGGCCCCGGCCCCGTTCTTCAGGTTCTCCTCCCAGCGCGGTGCTCAGCCTTGAGATCTTTGAGCTCTCACTCTCCTTGTGGTTCATGGTGGCAATAATGGTGCCCTGCAGAGGTCACCCCCTCCAGTTGGTGTTCACGTGGGACCTCAGGATATGACCTTACGTGGAAATAGGGTCTTGCAAATGTGACTCGTTAAGGAAGGCATACTGGATTAGGGTGGGCCCGCACCCCAGGACTGGTGGCCTTATAAGAAGGGGGTGGACAGACAGACACAGGAAAAGGGGGTATGAGGGTGGAGGTGAGGCTGAGGGCTGCGGCCCAGCTGGAACCCCCAGAAGTCGGAAGGAGCCGGAACGGATCATGCTGGGAACTTGGGAGGGAGCCAACCCYGCCCACACTGTGCTGGGACTTCCGGCCTCCTGACCTAGGGAACAACTGAGTATACTCTGCCCAGCAGGACGTGCTCTGTCCTGGTGGCCACGGCAAGTGGACGCGGGCTCCATGAGCATGTTTCTGAGTGGACCGAGCACCCTTGTTCCTGGGGGAAACCGGTGTTCCTGGCTTTGGCTCATGTGTGTCCTAAACATGGGGTTCTCCTGGGCCCCTAGAAGGGTGCTGTGCCACCTGATGGGGWCGAAGAAACTGGGCACCTGACCCTGGCCAGCTGTAGTGGTGGAACGGCCAGGCGCGAGGGACACTGTGAGCACAGGCCGTTTCTGATGTAGATGTTGCTGAACTCTGAGTTCTTGGAAAAAGTGACAAGGCTCACGTCGGGAGTGGAAGCTGGGTTTGAAGGGTGAGTTGTCTAGAAAGGGAAGTCCCCCAAAACCCTGGGGTGATGCCTGAGGGCAGCAACTTCAGGACAGCGTCCTGTGGCCAGCAGCCTAACGGCTTCTGTCTGTGGACCACAGGGACCTGCAGACGGGTCTGTGGGTGGGGGTCACCTCGACATTCAGTGGGTGGCATTYGGTCACTCGTCCTGACGCCTGGTTTTCAGGCACCATGCAGACACGTGTCCTCTGCCCTTGCTCCATGCACTCAGGAACACGCGTCTGGCCGCGGCCCTCACTGGATGGCCTGTCCCCTGCTCCGTTCACGAAAGCAGCACCATAAGCCAAGAGGGAAACGGACAGGGTGGCGTGGAAAAGGGCTTCCGGGTGTCCTTCCAGGTGGACGGCCTTGTCCTGGAGGACAGTCACATCCTCTCTGCTGTGAATCACGGGTCAGAGGCTGCCTTGACCCGTGTTTCTTCTCATTTCTCTCTGTGGGTGGGACTGTGTGCAGCAGGAAGCCCAGAGCCCGTGGAGGACACAGCGGCTGTGTGGAGGCCCAGGGGGCTTGCCTTGCTGCTCTGTCCTGGGCCCAGGGCCCTTCCTGTCAGGGCTGGTGGGCCATCACGGGTTTCTGAAGAGCACAAACACACATGCACACGTGAGTATGTACGCAGACTCCCAGGCACTAGTATGCACACAGCAGCACACAGGCACACGCACAGGCAAGTGACAGGTCTGCAGGCACACGCAGAGGCAAGTGACAGGTTCTCAGGCACACGCACAGGCAAGTGACAGGTTCTCAGGCACACGCACAGGCAAGTGACAGGTCCTCAGGCACGCGCACAGGCAAGTGGCAGGTCCTCAGGCACGCACACAGGCAAGTGACAGGTTCGCAGGCATGTGCAGAGAAACATGAATACAGTGCACTGTCTTGGACGTTCAGGGATGTGCACGGGCACGTTCCTGGGCGTGCCTACAGGTGCCCACACTGGGTATGCGCACACACTCAGGCTACACATGAGCACGCCCACCCAGGGAGGGTCATACCGTCCTGCCTCATCAGGCTGCCCTTGACCAGCTTGGCACGTCTCTGCTGTTTGTGGTTTCTGCCTCTGTCCCCTCCTGCCATCACTTTGG